ACTTCTCTCCATGTGGATGTAGTGCCATTGAGGACTACTCATTGAGTACGGTTTGTTAGCCAGCTACAGATCCATCTGGTGGTGCTGTTGTCTATTCCACCTTTTCCTAGCTTACCAAGGAGTAGGTTGTGGTCTACCTTGTCAAATGCCTTATTGAAATCTAAGTATACTACATCCACTGTGTTTCACTGGTCTACTAGTTTAGTCACTTTATTGAAGAATGAGATGAGATTGTTTTGGCATGATCTGTTTTTAACAAACCCATGTGGCTACTAGTTATGACTTTGTTTGTTTCTAGTTGTTTGCAGATCTGTTTTTTGAATTATCTTTTCTAGGATCTTCCCAGGTATTGATGATAAACTGATTGGTCTGCAGTTTCCTGGGTCTGTTTTTCCCCCCTTTCTTGAAGATAGGGACTACATCAGCCCTTTTCCAATCCTCAGGTATTTCCCCGGTACTCCAGGATTTATGAAATATGTGTTACAACGGTTCTGAAATAACATCTGCCAGCTCCTTCAGAACTCTGGAATGTAGTCTGTTGGTCCCAGTGATTTGTATTTGTCAAGGTTGGATAGGTGTTCCATTACCATTTTCTTGCTTATTTTAATTTTTGTTTCTAGTATGTCTTTTGCAGTAGTTTTTTGGTGTGTTGGAATATAGTTTTTTTGTGTGAAGACTGATGCAAAGTATGAGTTAAACAGCTCTGCTTTTTCCCTGTTGCCTGTAATTTCCTTGCATCTTCTCTCTTTAGTGGGCCTACAGTCTCCTTGATTTTTTTTCTTGTTAATGTGTTGGAAGAAACTTTTGATTTCTGTTGCAAGTCTTTGTTCGTTCTGAGCCTTTGCTTTCCTGACTTCATCTTTGTATGTTCTGGCTGTCTGCTGATAATCGGCTTTAGTTATGTGCCCCTCTTTCCATTTTTTGTATTTGTCCTTTTTGTCCTTTAGTTTGTTAGAGAGATCTTTTGTTCCAGGGAAACAGCATACTTCCCTGGATTGTATGTCTGGTCTGCAGATGGATGGTTTTGTTCCTTTGAGGATGGAGTCTCCTATTAACAACACTCCCTTTCTTTTTTGTGGGGGACTGCAGTCTGGGGTGCTTTTCTGTTTATCTCAAGTGTGTTTGTTGATGTGGCTTTTTAAGGGATATTTGAAGTGACTTTTTTAGGGATATTTGAAGTGACCTTTTTAGGGATGTTTGAAGTTGTCTTTTTGCTAGGTGTCTGCATGTCTTCTTTGAAGGGGGTTGTGGGTCTGCGTGTTTCTGTCTAAGGGGAGAAATCAATTGGTCAGTTTTAGTGGGGCTGTTTCTGATTGGGTAGGGTTGGGCAGAGGGGGTTTATTTGTTGTATGCTGTTTCTTTCTTTGGGTATTGTGTTTCCTTCTGTGTGTAACATACCTCCATTTGTCTTTCTCCAAGGGTTTATCAGTGGGGTCAAGTCCTCTGGGAGTTAATTGTTCATTATTTGGTTCCATTTGGGTGGAGCTTTCTTTCGTACATTGGGGTTTGGCTAGAGTTGCTTCTAAGTTCCTAACCTTTTCCTGTAGTTGTTCACATAATTTGTATCTGATGCATGTATAGTTGGGGTGTTCTTTAGGCATCAGTGCATACATGGAACTTGTACTGCATACCACAATAGCCTCAGTTGTCTGTTCCATGAGTTTGGTGTTTGGTGTTTTCTGTCTTGCTGCCTTGCTGCCACCTGTAGGCCTCTGGTCTGCTGCTGCTTCACCGCCTCCACCTGCAGGCCTCCCAGTTTGCCGCTGCTGCCTTGCCTCCACCTCCCAGTCCTCAGAAAAGGACACCATAACCTGCAGGCCTCTGGTTTGCCGGTGCTGCCTCGCTGTCACCTGCAGGCCTCCTGGCTTGCCGCTGCTGCCTCTCTGCCACCCGCAGGCCTCCCGGTCCACCGCTGCCACTGCCGCCGCCTGCCACCTCCATACTGTCCCCACTGCCTCACATTGCCACTGGCCACCTCCTTTTTGCTTCCCCCAGCCATCTCAATGGTCCTCCACCTCGCGCTGCCATCGGTTGCCTCCTTTCCACTGCTTGAGCTGCCGGTGCGTTGCGTGGCCCAGTTTGCCACGCCGGTCTCCGCCTCCCTGTGTCGGGTTGGCCTAGAAGTCCTCTGGTGTCCCTTTTGTTATCCTGCGTGGCCGCTCTGTTGGATGGGGGGGCACTCTGGTTCCAGTTTGCTGCTTTCCATTGCCTTCCCCCCCCCCAGCGTTGGGCTGCTTAGCTGTGCTCTGGAGCTGGCTCTCTCGTTCTCTGCTGCCAGCTGCCTCTGACTCCACGTGCAGCCATTCGTTTTCTGCACTCTTGTTTGCTGATGTTTCCTCAATCATTTATCATATGTTTTAGCCTCCAAACCCCTAATCATCTTTGCTGCTCTTCTCTGCACTCTTTCTAGGGCCTCAACATCAGTTTTACATTACGCTGAGCAGAACTAGAGGCAATATTCCAAGTGTAGTCTTACCAATGCAGTATAAAGTAGTACTAACACTTTATGTGATCTTGAAACTATCCCTTTGTTCATGGACCCTAGGACTACATTAGTTTTTTGGGCAGTTGTAGCACATCACTGGCTCATACTTAAATGGTGATCTACTAGGACACCTAGATCATTCTCATTTACTACTGTTGAGCCAGGTACAATCTATTTTATACCTGTGCATTTGGTTTTTCTTGCCTATGTGTAGGGCCTTACTTTTCTCACCACTGAATTGCATTTTGTTGGATAGTACCTAGCTTTCAAATGTGTCAAGATTCTTCTGAATTTTGAGTCTATCTTCTTAAAGTGTTAGTATTCCCCCCAGCTTGGTGTCATCTGCAAATTTGATGAGTTCCCCTTCTAAATCGTTTATGAAGTTGTTGAAGAACACTGGGCATAAGGCAGAATCTTCAGGTACCCCACTGCATGCTTCTCTGCATTTAGATGTAGTTCCATTGAGGACTAGACATTGAATGCAGTTATGTATCCAGCTGGTGATGATGCAGTCTGTCTCAGATTATTCTATCTTACAATGAAGTAGGCTGTGGTCTACTTTGTCCATACAGCATTAACCTTGCGAACTCTCAAGCTTCCTCCTTCCGTTATATATTCAAGATGGACAATATTTAATATTTATTTGCTACGTACTGTATATGTAGGGATGTGGGTCTATACATACGTTGTTCATAGTATGTTTAGGTGTGTGTCATGTATGTGTTTCACTTTGTGAGCGGGCAACTAAATTTCATTTTTGATGTGTGCCATTGTGCCCACAGTATAAAAATGACAATAAAGGTTATCTTATCTTATCTTATCTTATCTTATCTTTTGACAAACCCATGTTGACTTCTAGTAATAACTTTGCTTGTTTCTAGATACTTACAAATGCATTGCTTAATTATCTTTTCCAGAATTTCCCCAACTATTTATGTCAGTCTGCAGTTTACTAGATCCACTTTTCCCCCCTTTTTGTAGATTGGAACCACATCAGCTCTTTTCCTGTCATTTGGTATTGCCTAACCCTTCTGCAGCTTTACCTAATTGTTCCTTAAAATTACTGCAATCAAAACTAAAAATCTAGTGATCCATTTTGCAGAACAATCACTATATCAAGCAGAAAATATTTTAACTACTAATGATTAAGAAGTTAATCTGGGTACATTTCAAAGGATAGATCCAGGTAAATTTATCACACTGCTATAACATAAAGCAAACACTAAACAAAGTTATTTATCGTTTGAATTAAAATACAAGCTAGAAAGAAACTTCACATGCCAATTTAACCTTTTTCCATTACCACTGCAGGCACAAAGGCTACTTGTGTATTTGGGCTATATGCAAATGACATATCAGCAACATAATTATGAGAGCAGAGTCTTTACTAGGTGATAAGCACCCAGTTATATGGGACAGAATCTATCATGTGGAGAAGACAGACGTGATTGGCTGTGCTAAACTTGGTTGCATCAAAGATACAGCTGGGTTCATGCAATACAGCAGATGATCAAATGAAAGACAGTAGATATGTTTACAGATGTTAGATTGGAACCAAATAAACCACTCCCATGAGATGGTTTATTGAGGTGTCAGGCTAGCCATATAGTCTGCATTTGTTTGGGATGAACGATCAAGAAACTGCTTTGACAAGGATTTCTTTTTAAAATGCTTCTCCAAAGACAAAATACTATAGCTATTCTTTTGGAATTAGGGAAGCCTTTTCTGGTATGTATTCATGAATGACCAGGTTCAAATTCCAAAAGAGCATGGATGTCATGTTAAACAATTTATCCCTATGCAATTTGTTCAAAGCTGAACCATTTTCTTCAAATTTCACAGATATAAAGCGGTTACTGGTCCTGTCTGAAGATTAAATAAGGAGGCTTAAACAGGAAAGACAGAAAGTTGAAAAGTTTTGGCTAAGAGCAGTACTCTACATATTCTACCCGTACTCTACAAACAAGGCAATTCTGTACCAAAGTCAAACACATTATATGCAGTATGTTCTCTTTCCTAATGGCATTTTGCAAACCAGGCAAATGGAATACATTGCTTGACTTGCATAATATATTCTGTTTCCCACATTTATAGGGAGAGGCAAAGAGAAATATTGTACAATGAAGACATCCTTCCAGGCCTTTAGTAATTTCTTCACTCCCATTGCTGGCTTTGGGTTTTTATCCACACACTTTCAATACTATACTTTCACTCTCAAAACTGCTTTTCTAAAGGAAAACTAATTTTTTGAGATGCCAATGCTCTAAAGTGATGGAAGATCAAAGACGTGGGACATCTGAGGTAATACTTGTTCTGTCAGTGGAAAAAGAGCAGCTTTTCAAGTGGCCTAACAGTGTGGACCAGGAACTATCATTCCTCCAAAGGTTCACTCTTTCACAGGAAGAATCTGTACTCAGAAGAGAGAACAGAAATAGACAGGCTTGCTGAGACCTTTTAAAAGGACATGCAAACATAATTTCAGATATTATCAGACCTAAGACACTTCATTTTCCTTTCAAAGGGCAACCTCATCTTCCAGGCTATCTCCCAGCCCCTGTTTGTCCAGGATATTGAGCAGGCGATGTGGTTCCTCTTGGGCCCATGAGTCCCACTCCTCACCTTCATCCATGTTGGATTCATACTCAGAGGCAATACCAAACTCACGAAATTTGATGAGCTCCAGGCTGCCCAAAGGAGGGTCCATACTAGCAAGGAAATGGAAACATTCCAGCTTCACCAAACAGTCACTCCTACCTAAAGGGCTGCCCAGAGAACTGGAAACATTGGAGAAGCTGTTGTCAGGCTGAAGAAGGTGGGTGTCCTCAGGCATAGGGGTAGTGGAATCACACAGAACAGGCAGGGCATCTGATCGATAGGTGATTTCCAACAAGCTGTCTTGATAGTCCACTGAAAGACAAGAAGAAAGAATGGAGCATCAGAGCAATTATTTCTGCCATGTTTATGTCAGAGAAGATGGCTACCCTAACCATCCAAGAGAACAATTACCTGTTGCAATTATTTCTGCTGCTCTTGAAGACCACTGAGAATATACAGCTGGTCCAGGATATGACTGCAAAAATAGTTTGGGGAGCATCATAATATGCTTATAACAAATCTAAAATCTGTGAGCTATGCTGATTACTCACAAACCTACTAATAATCAATGCAGCTCACAGAATGGATGTATGTTACAAGCATACTTGTCATGGCTGACTCGCTACACAGCCCAGCTCACAACCAGACAATAGTAATGAAAGCGGGGAGGGAATGCATTGGAATGTAATGGAGGCTTGTGAGGAAAATGTGGAATGCAAGTGTGTTGACTGGAAGCCTGAGACAGACCCAATACCCCAAGGTCACCGGATGGGAACATCCGAGGCAGACAAACCATTCCCAAAACAAAGAGAGTGCAAATGATTGGTGGACAATGGACAATGGGAGGTCCAGGGGAAAAAGAGACAGTTTTTCCTATGTTGTTTGCATGCAAAATAATTAGAACTGGCTTTTCTACTTCTATACCCATATAGAATTTTTAGTAAAGTTATACTCTTGGTAAAAAAATGTCCCAGGAGTTTCTTTTGCTGTCTAATCCAGTGGGATGGTTGGAAATACTGTGATTAACTCCAAACTGCTTTTGCAGTGAAATCCTGGACAAGCTGTATGTTCTCAGTGTACAATTGGTACAATTCAAGCTACCAGTTGTCATCTATAAAATACCACATGGATTTGGGTCTTATATTTATAGTGTAATCTTTCTGCATTTGTCTCTGTTCATCCCGTAAGATCAGAAGGATGCCCAATATCCCATGGAGTATGAGGCATACCTAAAGAATGGTGTTCATAGTCAAAGAACAATCTGCTAGAGCAAACAATCTCTTTGTGGGAATAGCAGTATTTCACAAAGTTGGGAATGTGGTTACTATGGATCTTTGGTAAGGCCACAGATGTCATTATATTTATAATGGAATGGGTCCTAATCCCTAAATCTTTCTGCATGGAGCTCTATATAAAATAGAAGCAAACTTTCATACAAAGAAAGAAATTGCCTTATTTATGCAATTCAATTCAAGAGTGCACAATCCTTGTTCTTTATGGACTTGTGAGGATGTTATAGGATAGTTGAAACACAGTGAAGCTAAGAGCATTTTTTGACACGAGGTGACACCTGAATTTTTTAATGATAGAAATTAAGTTTTTTTTAAATACCTTGCGCTGAACTTCATTGCCATGGCATCTCAAAGGTGCTTTTTCAAAAGGCAATTGGACTGTTCTCTTGAGGAAGAAGAAGACGACGACGTTTCATTTCTCATTCAAGAAGCTTCATCAACACTGATGAAGCTTCTTGGATGAGAAGAGAAACATCTTCTTCCTCCTCCTCAAAAAAACCCCAGTCCAGTTGCCTTTTGAAAAAGCACCTTTGAGACAACTATGACTTAGATGACTGAGAATCGCCATAGACATTGCCATGGCAAGCTAAAGCTGCATTCAGAAGGAACATCATTCTAAAATAAGCAAACAACACACAAAAGCAATAGACTACATAACAGTGTAGTCAGTGTAGACTGGACATTCACCTGTCTGAGATCGTATAGTTTCTCCTGCTTGAGCAGGGGGCTGGACTAGAAGACCTACAAAGTCCCTTCCAGCTCTATTCTATTCTATTAATTAAGACATCACTACAGCAGCTGGCTTTATGCATAACCTGAAGACCAAACTGGAGAATGAAGATTTTTGATGACCACAAAAAAACAATATGTGAAGAAAAATCATATCATTAAGAAATATAAAAACACTCCTAAGATAGCAAACATTAAACCAGAATGTCAAGAATACAGTTTAATGAAAGTGAAACATATCATACAACTTCACCATTATATGAAAGTCTGCAACACAAAAGACTCGTGAGAACAGTTTGGTGTCATGGCGAAGATGCTGACCTAGAAACCAGGAGACCTCCCTTCAGCATGAAAGATGGCTAGGTGACTCTGGGCCTGTTCCTCTCAGCCCAATTCACCTCACTGGGTTGTTGTCGTATGGAAAAGAATTGGCAGGAGAATTAGATATATTGAATTGTATTTTTTAAAAGGTGGAATAAAAATATAATAATCATAATAACTCTGATCAATTAAGTGCATGTGTATCCTTCACAAAAAGCCACTAGAAATTCATGTGATCACTCCAAAATTAAATTAATGTTGATCCAGGAGATGCCGAGACTGATTGATTGACTATTTGCTTAATCTGGCTATGTTTTCATGTGTTTCTTCCAATGAATAAAATAATCTGGATCTGACTCTGAGAACACAGCAAGATCGGGTATGCTACTAAAGGATCCACCCATCCATGCTTCAATTGAGATTATCTCGCTCTTAGGGTGAGAGCCTAGGAGTGGCTATTGTGTTAGGGTGGATACTTGCAGCTCCCCCACCCAAAGTGAGAGTCGGTGAAGAGTCTTGGGTGAGAGTGCCCTCAGAATAACAGATTTGGAAGGTACCTTGGAGGTCTTCTAGTCCACCCCCCTGTTCAGGCAGGAGACCCTATACAATTTCAGACAAATGGCTGTCTGATCTCATCTTAAAAACCTCCAGTAATGAAGCACCCACAATTTCTGAAGACAAGCTGAAATTTCTCCTTATTTCTAGGTTGGTTCGTCTGCAAATTTGATAAGTTCCCTTCTGAAGCCCTGTTGGTGCTACAAGCTTGAGCTATAGCCCTATGAAGGCTCGCTCCTTCACCTATCTCCCCAGAATGGCTTAAGAAGTGAATGAGAGTGGATGGAGGAAGATGACAGGGCTCCTGACTCTCAGAGGAGGGAGACCAGAGGGAAGGGAAGGAACAATAAGTTAGAGTGGTGATGGGCATGGAATGCTATGGGAGCCAGAGGGCAGGCTATTACAGGGGAAAATGGCCCAATGTATAGTCTCAGTTGCAAGTTCTGGCTCCCTGAGCTCATTCCCAGTTCCTGGACAACATATTCTCAGAGGCCCTGAGGTTCGGCGGTTCCTGGTGAATGCCAGGTCAGTCAATAAAGCTCCCTTTATCCAAGATCTCATCAAGGAGATTTGGCATGCATCACCAAGACCTGGCTGAATCTGGAAGTGGGGGTTCCCCTGTTAGAGATATGACCAGCCAGATTTAGGATCTGGCACCAGCCAAGACCGCAGAGTAAGAGAGGTGATGTCGCAGTGGTCATCAGAGTCTCTTTTGGCCTTCAGGGGTCTTGCTCCCCAAGTCTCTGGTTGTGAGATCCTGTTTTTGAAACTGGGCTAATGGGATCAATGGGGATTGTTGTTAACATAACTAGCCTCCCTGCTGTGTCGTACTTTCTCTGCCAGAGCCACTGAAGGCCATTTCAGGGCTGGCAGTGGAGTTCCCTAGACTTATATTCTGGAGGACTTCAACCTGCCATCACTGGGTTCAACCTTGGAAGCAGCTCGAAAGTTCATGACTACCATAGTGGCTATAGGCCTATCCCAGATCATCTTAGGTCTGACTCAGGACAGTGACCTCATGATTGTCAGATCTGCTATCAAACTGCTTCAGCCTTGCTTCCCTTTGATGGCATCCTGCCATAAAAAGGGGGGAAGGAGCAATGGAGGAATATAGGGAGGGGGATGATAGGAACTAGAAGTGCCAACCAGAGACAACGGTTGAGAGATCCAAGGACACAGACATGGGTACAGAATGCAAACACCTGCCAAAGAGGTGCCAAACTTTAGAACTGTTAATAAACCACCTAGTTTGAATATCATTGGAAATATCATTAAGAAAATGATCAAAGTGCGAAAGCCTGGGAGAAGGGAAAAACCACTGAGTTTATGCAGGAATATTCAGATCTGGCTTTGCTTATTCTGTAACAACTTGGCTTTAGTAAAAGTATACCTTTCGCTACAAATGAAGTTTAGGGTCTTTCTTTCCTAAATGTCCAAGCCAGGTTAGGTCTGACAATGATCTTCTTATTGAAGCAAAGGCAATGTGATCTGGTGGGGGATTTAACATTATCCTGCTTGTCATGGTCAGATCACGCCCTGGTGTTCTTGAGACTCTCTTATGCTGCCCCTTTTGCAGAGAGGTCAGATTTCTTCAAATACGTCCCTAGCAATGATAGGCCCCAATGGGTTCCAGAGAGAACTGGGGGATGCTCTGGGGGGATTGCTGCATAGTCCTCCCAAAGTCTTGCTAACATCCTGAAATCAAAGGGCACCCAAGGATTTGGACAAGATCATGCCTGTGCAGCCTGTCTCAACCCATCGCTCTTGACTCTCCCTGTGGTTCACAGAGGTATTGCAGGTCCTGAAAAGTATTAAGAGATGATGAGAGTCTGCTGGAGGAAAATGAAGTCTAACTGGACATGACTTAGAGACGCTATTATGTCGGTAAAAGCTCCAAAACAGCATTATTTCTCCACCCCTTTTTCTACCCATAAGTGTTCTCTTACCATTTTCTTGTCTATTTTACTTGTACTTCTATTCTGTCTTTTACGGTGCTGCATTTGATAAGTTGGGTTATTTTTCCCTTTGGTGTAAAGACAGATGAGACCCTAGACCCTTTGCTTTTTTCCTCTAGACACGTTACTTTTCCTCAAATAATTCAATTTGTTTACATTTGGTACAGATATAACTTGCGTAAAAAAATTACAGCATTAAAGACAAATGGAAAATGTATTCTGGATAGAAATCTAAGACAGGAAAAGAAATGGTTCCTATAGACAGGAGAAGGAAGAGCTCTTACTGTTGTTAAATCCCAGCAGTTTTCCCTCCAGTTCCTGCACTTGCTTTACCAGAAGTGATATATGCTGAAGAAGGTCTTTATTCTGAAGCAAGAGCTGATGTACTCGGGCCTGTGCCTCAAGGCGGGCAGCTGCCTCTGTAGCTAATTGGTCTTTCAACAGATGTACCTGCAGAACAGAGACAAAAAACACATGGTTATACATAGCTGCAGTGAGAAGTAGATAGTACAGAAGATCTGTCTTTCTGACAGAACCCTACCTTTGAATATAGATATGAATGGAGGCTGAATATACTTCAAGATTACTTCCCCTGAGATAGCTAATGAAACTGTCTTTTGGGCCTGCAGAAGACTGAGAAGATCCAACCCACGAAATACTTTGCAGAGCCCTTAGATCAGGGATGTCAAACTGCCGGCCCACAGGCCAAATGCATCATGGCAAAACCACACCCACTCCATTGCCGGTAATGGAAAAAAAGTTGTGATAAGTTGTGAACGTCACATGACGTTGCAAGTTTGACATCCCTGCCTTAGATACTAAAGAGAAACCAAGATATTGGCTTAAGGATAAAAACAACATTCAGAGTGATATCAGTCTCCAAGGGGAGCAGTTCATGAGTAAGAAAACAAATGGTATATTGTTTCAACAACCACCAAATATTCTTACATTTTCATTAATATACTGGCAGTAAAGACAAGGATATTCCATGAGAGCTATGCAATAAAATTGGCACTGAAACTGCTGATCTAGGGTTCTATTCCTTTAAATCTTTTGCTATTTCTTAGCTAAAGAACTGCAATTGAACAGGCAACTATTAGCCGAGCTTAGGTTGGAACATTTCATACACTAACACAGTTCAGATTATTTTGTATAGGATTTCTATAGTCTTTTCTTCAATTAGATCAGTGGTGGCAAACCTATGTCACGGGTGCCAGAGGCGGCACTCGGAGCCCTCTCTGTGGGCACACGTGCCATTGTCCCAGCCTTGCCTCCCCCCATGACACCCTCCTCATCAGCAGCCCTCCTGGAGAAGGGTCGCCCCTGAGCATGGCCCACACGGAGCAGTGCAGTCAAGGACATGGCAGCCAGGCAGTGTAGACAAGATTCTGCCGTCATGCCCCATCGCGCACAGTTGATGTTGCGGGGCGTGGACAAAGGGCGTGGCTGCTATGGCGCTGCTGGGCGATCTGTGGCGGACCCTGGAGGCGATGAGTGGCCCTGCGGGCAGGTGGGGTGGGGGCGGGGTGGGGGCGGGGCAGGGGGTGGAGCAGGGGTGGGGCCAGTTTTTGGGCACTCGGTCTCTAAAAGGTTCGCCATCACTGAATTAGATCTTCCTGCAAAATAGATAATAACCTGAGCCACAGCAAACTGAGTCTGCTGCTGTTGCTGCTGCAAAAGCTGTTGCAGAAATTGCATTTGATGATGAGCAGAGAGAGGAACCTCTGGCTCAGGCAACTGAGTAGAAGAAGTGAGAAGCATTTTAGGAGAAGCCATGAAGATATTCTCTTTATGAACCAAGTCCTATGAAAAAAAGCAGATGCAGTGATCAATGCAGAATTCAGTTTAGACTTTACTATATCCCAGTATACATCTTTTATTTCTCAGGAACATAATTCTTCCCCACCCAATAGGCAGAAAGGAGGAGCTACAGTGGCACAACCAAAGCACGGTTACACTCTACTTTAGGAAAGAGACCACCAAGGTTCTAGTGCTCACATAGCTCACCAACATCACTAACCAGGATAATTTCCTCCAGCTCATCCATAGTTTTGGGGAAACCATCCATACTACTTTCTCTTTGCCTAATTAAAAAAAAAAAAGTAACAGCATCAACCATGATGATGCAGAGGCTTCGACCCAAGAGGATCAGATTCTATTCATTCTGGCTAATATGAAAAGTATCCAGCAATTTATCATCTATGAATGGAGCCATCTTAAAATCAGAGATTTTAAAATATCATTGTTTCCAATATCAAATGAAGGAGGAGATGGAGAAGGTGTAGACATCTGGCAGGGAAACAGAAAAGAGCTGAGCTTCTGAAGTATACAGTTTTTAAATATTGCGTAGCATCAAGAATAGAGATCATCTGCTGAGAACATTGGGAATGGGCTGACATGTATCACAATACCATTCCTTTGGGAAAGGTTCTACTGTGTAGGATCGATTTATTTCCAATGAATGATATATTTCTCATATTTCCCACAAATTAAATATGAATGGATAATTCCCATTAAGGAAACAAGGAAACAATCGGTTTTTCAAATCAGGAACATAAGTATTTCATTTGATTCGTTTTCCTGATTACTTTCACTTCAGGATTAGGATAGCATATGCTCTGGAAGGTAGTGGGCCATGTGTCAGTTGGACTTTTGATTCTATAAAAGGCAGAGTTATTCAAGCACTCTTCCTAGAGCTGTATTCTTTGAACAGAAGAATCACTGACAAGGATACATGTACCTTGCTGCAAAGAAGACCAGACGTCTCTTTATCAACAGCATCAAGGTCTGTCACTCCCCTGGTAAACTCCAAGTGATCACTCCCTGATCGTCTGATGTCCACAGCATCAATATCTGTTTCCTCAGTAGTGTTGACAGGTTCAGGTTCAGTCAAACCACAGGCTATGAGAAATTATCAGTAGCAAAAATTATTACAGCAATCTAGGCAGGATCTAAAATAAAGTTCTAACATCTGGTTTAGGAGAGGCAAAAGTAAAGTCCCAGCAAAGAAAAATAAACAGAGAAGACAGCAATATGTACTATTAAAAGAAAAATTTGGAAAGTTAGAATCAGAATTACAAAAAGATCCATAGAAAAAGACTTTGAAAAGAGAAATGGAAATAATAAAAAATAAATTAAACCTGTTGGATTCAGGAAAAAATGGCAGAACAGATAAAGAGAGCAAAACAGAATTTTTTTGAAAATGCTAATAAACCAGGAAGATGGTTAGCTTATAAACTTAAAAAACAGAAGGAGAAGAAAATGATTTACAACTTAGTAGATGGGAAAGGCTATTTGCAATTTAAAAATGAAGAAATAAAAAAGATAATTAAGGAATACTACAAGGAATTGTACGATAAAGAGGAAACTTCAAGAGAGAGAATTGTTCAATATCTAGAAGAAAATAATCTTCCAAAAATTCCAGAGACATTTAAAACTATGTTAGAAGAAAGGATTACAATGATGGAAATATCAGAGGCTATAAAAAGACAAAAAAATGGGAAAACACCGGGCCCAGCGGAGCTATATAAAAATCTACAAGACATAATAAGTGAACCGTTGAAAGATGTTTGTAATGGACTCTTGTTAGAGGCTAAACTCCCAGTTACATGGATGGAAGCAAATATTACTCTAATACCTCAAAAGAAGATTCAGACTTGACGCAGATCAAGAATTATAGACCGATTCCACTGCTTAATGTGGATTACAAAATTTTTACTTCCATAATGGCAGAGAGACTGAAAAAATACTTAGTTGAATTCATACATCCAGATCAAAACAGTTTCTTACCAAAGAGACAAATTAAAAACAACTTAAGAGTGATAATGGATGTATTAGAATACTATGAACTACACCCAGGGAAACAATTGGCACTAATATTTTTAGACGCCCAAAAGGCATTTGACAATGTTTCCTGGCAATTTATGACTCAGCAACTACAAATTATGGACTTTGGACAGAACTTTATAAATATGATAAAAACAATATATAACAAGCAGACAGCCAAAGTGATTGTGAATGGAGACTGTACTGAGAGCTTTGAGATAAGAAAAGGCACAAGGCAAGGATGTTCATTATCCACACTGTTATTCATTTTTACCTTGGAAGTTTTAAATAGAAATATTAGACAAGATACAGAAATTATCTTGGACTGGAGGATAAGGCGAAACATATAAATTACAAGCATTCGCTGATGGTCTAGTATTTATCATGGAAGAATCTTTGGAGATGATCCCTAAACTATGGGGAAAGATAGAACAATATGGAGAAATGGCAGGATTAAAAATAAATAGAGAAAAAACTAAGGTAATAGTTAAGAATCTTACAGATAAAAAAAAAACAAATGTCAGAAAAAATAGAGGTACAGATAACTAGAAAAGTGGCAAAAGCTACGGGAGAAAAAAATATAAATTGACAATGTCAACTTCATATAAAGAAAATTTATATAAAATGTTTTATAGATGGCACTTCCACCAACAAGATTAGCAAAAATGTTTAAAAATATGTCAGATAGATGTTGGAAATGTAAGCAAATGTAGGCACGTATTATCATGTTTGGTGGACATGTGACAAAGCAAAGGTCTATTGGAAAAAGATGCATACTTGATTAGAAAAGATATTGGGAGAACATGTGGATTTTAAACCTGAACTTTTCTTATTAGGTATAATGCCAGAAAAGATTAACAAACAAAGCCTATATTTGATTCTACACGTCACAACAGCAACAAGAATAATATTCGTGCAATATTGGAAAAATGAAGGATTACCACCAGAGGAAGAAATAATCAAAAAAATACTGGAATGCACAGAGATGGACAGATTAACCATGAGATTAAAAGATAAAGAAGAAACAGAATATTATCAAACTTGGGATTTATTTTATCAATGGCTAGAGGAAAGAATGAAGGATTAGGAGCTGAATATGTATTAGCGTTTTTAAACCCAGACAGCATGTTGGTTGAAAAATTAATATATGTACTGTATGTAAGAGAAAATTAATAAAATCTTTATTTAAAAAAAAGTGAAGTCCCAGTAGGCCCACAAAGAAAGATTATTTCCATGCAGAGAAAGATTAGCTCCACTCTTTCATCTGTATCCAAGGGCTGAGGGCATTTTTCAACCTGTTCTGGGCAAGTCATTGAACCCATTCTTCACTCAAATAAAATTTTGCCACTTCTTTTTCTATCTGTCTGGGACTTCAATTTTCTGTTCATAGAAACAATACCTTTCCATCATTGTTGTCTTTTTACCTGGTGCTTCCAAATCCTCACTGCCCTTTTCACTATGACTGTCCTCTTGGCCATCAGCATTCTGCTGTGTATGATGAAGGCTCAATTTATGGCAGACTTCAAATGCTTGCCCCACTGTTCGAACAATGCGCATGGCTTGACTCTGCAAAAGAGAGGAAAAGGGCAATAAGAACATCCCGTCTGAAGACCAAGGTACAGCTATTTCTGAGGGAAAAGATCTATGTCCCTTCTCTTAATATTCAGTTAGGTAAAATACCAGTGTCAATTTTGGTAATAATCCACTTCCTTCCATGTAATGCCTTTCTCTGATTTCTGTAGCTAACATATTGTCTCAACATAATTAGATAATCTTCTCCCAAAGAGCTTATTTTCCTATATTCTTCCCTTTCAACTTTGGAGTCTTGCCGTTTAGTGACATGGAAAGAATCACAGATGAGTTTTCTAAATTTGCAAATCAGTCCATTGAATGACTGAGAAGCTACATGTTGACTTTAAGCTGTTCCTTCTGAGTTTGTTTCAGATATATACTGGTAGACTTACTTGATACTTTCTTATAAACTTCTTCCTGAATCAGAAGGCAGATATATAACACTATTCTGAATTTTGAGTAAGCAACAAGCTAGATACATTTTTGCAATAATAAGTAGTTTGTCACTTAGACATGAAGGCGTTAACAAGGAATACATTTTTGGAGTGGCCATTCCTACATTATATCCCCAGAGAGCAAATAATAACTGTCATAAAAGTTATGGTGTCATTTAGGTTTAAATGGTTGTTTTTTTAAGAGTAAAAGGTAAAAGTAAAGATTTCCCTGTCAGTTGTGTCTGATTCTAGGCTAGGGCATGGTGCTCCTCTGTTTCTTGGTCTAGGGAGCCAGTGTTGTCCGAAGACAATTCCCGTGGTATGTGGCCAGCATGGCTATATGCCAAAGGCTCATGGAATGCTGTTACCTTCCCACCAAAGTTAATCTATTAATCTACTTGCATTTGCATGCTTTCGAACTGCTAAGTGGGCAGGAATTTGGGCAAGTAATGGGAGCTCACCCCATTGCATGGAAGCTCAGGTCTCAAACCCAGGCTGTCAGCTCTCCAGCTGACAAGCTCAGCATCTTTAAGAGTAATGCAGCTTAAACCTAGAAACAGAACAGTGTTTTCCAACCTGACCAGCCTTCAGATGATGGGGTGTCAATTTCCATAATTCTCAGCAATAGCCAATATGTAAAGGTAATCCTCTCTCAGTATTTCATCCCAGACAACCAAAACACATTGGCTTTGCCTCAGAACAGGCTATGTGACATACTCTGGCTCTATTAAGAAGAAGAGAATCTGCCTAACCCTTCTGGTCCAAGTTAAAAAACAATCTTGCCTAGATGAAACTGAGAGAGCTGAAGTGGAATAAAAATAAAAAAGATGTATTGAGATAAAGAGAAAGGGAAAGCTAAGATTTTTCTGGCCCAGATTTAAGCTTGGATTTTCTAGAAAACTAAAAAAACAAGTAAAATTGTATGGGTAAAATTGAATCCTTCTGATTCAAAGAAATTCCTTACTTGTGTAGACATTTTCTTTTATTTTCACCAATTTCCCTAACCCATCTAAGATGGTTTTTGAGTTTTATTTCTACCTTCTAAGGCTTGAGCTATCTCACTCAATTTTGTATAATCTGAATTTATTTTATCTTAATGTGTTAAACTAATCAACAGAAATAAAGGAAAGATTAACTACATTATTTTTGTTTCTGGTGCTTATTTTATTTATACAAGTTCAGTTATTATATATTTGAGACATTTTGGGAACACTGTGCAGCAGGATGCCTTATATTAATAGCAGATCATTCCACCAGCCTTATTGTTTCATCTATAACAGGAACAGATATCCATCTGTGATTTTAGCAGCACTGTGATTTTAGCAGCACTGTGATTTTAGCAGCACCTTAATTAATTTTCAGATGACTATGTAAAGCAATGGAGTGAATTTTTACTATTTTTTCAATTAAATATCATGTTATCTATCATTAGATTCCCCATCATACCTTAATCACACATCTCACACTATAGTCCTGGGAGGTGGTGTTATAAAATGTATTATAATTGTGTTTGCTTGTTATTGTTGTTTGCTAGTGAGGACACAGAATATGGGATTCCTATCCATCCCACACCTCAGACTTAAGGAGAAGGACAGCAGGTAAGACAGGTAATGGCAGCAGTAAGAACCAAGCAGGTACACCAAGACAGGATCACAGTGCCAGAATGTAGAATTTGGAGCACTTCTGGGAAAGGAGAGTGAAACAACAGGATGAAAGAGAGTTTTCTGCAGAGGCCAAATCTATGGCTCTACCTGCCAATAAAAGAACTTATACTATGAGTTCTATTTTTCCTGTAAAAAAAGGAGTCTTTCTGACTAAGTGGTGATGACAGATGATCTTAAGCCATCTGCTAAAAGCTGGATAGTTTCACTTTTTAATCATTAAGCGGAAGATTTTAACTCATTGCTCTATAAGAGAATAGTATGTCTTCCATTATGTCAGGCACTTTCACTTTTTGACCTTTATTTCCAGAAGTCTTTTTTATTAGCTACTTGACCAGATGTTGAGGAAAGATGCTGAAGGAAATGCATTGTTTCAAGTACCACCAACACAGAGCATAAGTAAGAATGTTGTTTAGAAAGTACAAAGAAGCTCCTTCCCCAGCACCTATTCTCCTCTACCTAAGGGGAAGAAAATACTGCAAACCTTTTTACAATTCCCATGTAAATAGATTCCAGGAAAATAGAGATACAAACTATGCACAATATCCCCAGAGTGGGATGATGACCTTCAGCTGTTAGAGGGATTTATAAGAGGCCCTAAGCTTATAACTTGCCAATTTGCAACATACCTTTTTCTTTGACTTGAAAACATTACAGTGGAAGGTGTTACTGGAACCATCCCTTGCAATATAACTGAAGATCTTCAGGTCCTGGGAATCATGGGACACATAAAATATCCTGCAAAAATAGTAGAACTATATGTGCATGTATACATACCACATAGGAAACAGGCTAGTCCAGTGGTGGCGAACCTTTTAGAGACCGAGTGCCCAAACTGCAAACCAAAACCCACTTATGTATCATCGGGTGCCGGGTGGGCGTGGCCCACTGGGTGGGTGTAGCTACGGCAGTCACAGCAGACTGAGTGGGCGTGGCCAGGGTGGATGTGGCCACCTTGATGTTGCTCCTGGAGAGGGATGCCTGGGGGGGCTGGGCAGGGTTGGGGGAGATCCAGGGGGTCCCTGGCAGGTAGGGCGGTGGACAGGAGGCTCATCCTGCAGGGTGAGGCGAGGCAAGGGAGGGGGCAGGGTGGGGATTAGGGTTAGGATGCTGCTGCTTTCCCCCCAGGACGGAGCACCCCACCGCAGTCCAGCAACAGCAGCAAAGCTCGTCCTCCCCACTCAAGCGGCCACCAGCAGCTCCTGGGCTCCATCCGAGTTGAAGAAAGCGAAGGCGCAACAGTGGGATTGCTCTCAATAAGGTGGGTGCACACAAGCAACGCACCCGGCTCTTATTGTTTGAGAGCAATCCCGCTGCTGGGCCTCCGCTTTCAACTTGGATGGAGCCGAGGTACCTAAGCTGCGGAGTCTCTTTGCGAGCCTGCTTAGCCTGCATCAGCCTTGCTCTTCACAGCGCACTGCAGCTGATCTGAAGCATGGAGAGCATGGCTGACGGGTGAGCGCATAGCAGACATGCACAGACTTCGCTGTTTTCAGCGGCGCTTCTGATCAGCTGCAGCAACCCTAACCCCATCGCTGTCAAAGGAAAAAAGCAGAGTCTGTGTGTGCTCCTGTGTGTGCTCCAGAGTCTGTGTGTGCTCCTATCAACCAGCTGCAGCACGCCATGGAGAGCCTGGTTGCAGCTGATCAGAAGCAAGGGAAACGCCAGCGGCAGCAAGCAATCTGTGCAGGGGGTGGGGGGGAAACGCCGGCAGCAGCGAGGCGATCCGTGCAGGGAGGGAAAGGCCAGCAGCAGCAAGCAATCCATGCGGGGGGGGGGGGGAAC